GATAGGATTAGAGGCCAAGAACATTAAGAATGGCTCTTGAGCCGGGCAGTGGTGGTACACGCCTTTAATCCCAGCACTCGAAGTTAGAGGCAGGTGCATCTTCTCAGTTCAAGAAGAAAGGCTCTTGAATCTAAGGTAGAAACTGGTCAGGTGGATAAGAAAGGAACGTAAAGGTATCATGAGAATGTACAGCAGCATTCAGGAAGTTATAAGCAGTCCCTCAGTCCTTGAGCACTAGTGATGTGAGGGGTGGAAATAAGACTACATCGAGCCCTTTCATGCAGTGCCTTTGTGCCTGTGTGTTTAGGGAGCCACCGATTCTAAGCTGAGAATAATCAAAGCCTTGACTAAGTGAAGAGTGGGTTAAAAGGGTGAAATCTGGAGGCCAGGCAGCCATAGAAAATCCTTTGGGTAAAAGGCTTACCTAGCCAGCTGTGGCAGCCAAACCAAGACCCCGTGCAGATCTCACAGTCCTCACTGTCCGTGCATGGTGTTGGTGTTGCAGCTCGACCAATCCAATTAATGGCCCGACCCATTCCTTGAATGTTTTAAGGGTTACAGAGTTTTGGGGATGGAGAGGCCTGCTTAGGGCATTCCCTGAAGTAGCTACTAGATAGGATAAACCTTATAAAACAGCCCAGAAGACTGCATTGGAGATGGTGGACTGAAGAGCCCTACCCTGCACCCTAATCACCCATATTTTGGGTGATTGTGGTCTGTGAATAAACGTGTAATACTTACAGGCTTGCAGTGCCCTTTAAGGGCAAAATGCCTACCTGCAGTCCTGGAGTTGCAGAGCCCTCTGGCAGCTGAGGAATACTCTGAGAATTACTCTGCTACTCTGCCCTGCCCTGGCTCCAGGGTCCCGAACACCTAACCACTAACTCTTCCTAGGAGTACACAGTGCTAGAGAAGCACTCTGCCAACTGAGCTATAGCCCAGGCACCAGCAGCTGTTTATGAAGGAGAAGCAAACCCTTGTGGTCTGATTACCTCTCATAGGTCCCAGCCTCTTAACATTGGAATTTTTGTTGTGTGAAATCGGGGGCTACTCCCAGACCCTTGTTGCTGGTACTGCAGCCTCTCCAAGTGAGGTTTGGTTGGTCTGGCTGGGTCAGGGTCATTTTCTACACCTCACTGGCCTCCTACACTCCTAGATCTGAGCCTGAGGGCGGTAATGGGGGCTGGGGGCTGTGCTTCTTGCTGCTGCCTTTCCCAATGACCCCATCCGCAGTTAAGCAGCGCGTCTCCTGCCTCTGTCTGCAGATGTCTCAGTTCATTGTCCAGTGCCTGAATCCTTACCGGAAGCCCGACTGCAAGGTGGGCAGAATCACCACAACTGAGGATTTCAAACACCTGGCTCGAAAGGTACTCCCCTGCTCCTGGTCTGTTGATGTTCGTCCTTAGAAGTCATGTGGCTTCTAAGTGACTCTCCCTCATCAGAAAGTGTGGCTTTCTGTGCCAGATGCCAAGGCTTGGGGCCCAGGAATGTGAGGTGGGGAAAGTAGGCATCTAAAAGACTTTGAAAGCTGGGTCTCCTCCCTTTCCCTGCACCAGCTTGTCCCCACCCACCCTTTGGTTTCATTCATAGCCTGCCCTCCCTGTGAAGTCATTTTCCATTCTGATGGTGTCTGCGCTCTCTCTCTCTCTTTCTCTGTGCCTTGAACAGCTGACTCACGGAGTTATGAATAAAGAGCTGAAGTACTGTAAGAACCCCGAGGACTTGGAGTGCAATGAGAATGTGAAACACAAAACCAAGGAGTACATTAAGAAGTACATGCAGAAGTTTGGGGCTGTTTACAAACCTAAAGAGGACACTGAATTAGAGTGACTTGCAGGGCCAGAGTGAGCAGTGTGATCGGGAAGGACGAATCCTGTGGTTTCTGCCCTACCCCATGGCCAGGCCTGTACGTACTACTGGTGTGATGACCCATCATCCTGAGCAGTTCAGACCTGCAGGTGTGAACTGTAAGCCACAAATGAGCTCTATTAAAAATGACCTCTAGTTGTGAGCTGTTGGGATGGAACAGTTACAGGCCATCAGAAGCAGTAGCTTAGGGAAGACTTGGCCACACCCGACCCCATTCTCAAATCTGGGTCTCCCACTTGGCGGTGCTGTCAGCGCACAGACCCATGCGCACCCTCCCCCAAGACCCTTTACCCCGATGATCTGTATTATATTTTAATGTATATGTGAATATATTGAAAATAATTTGTTTTTCCTGGTTTTTGTTCAGTTTTTGTTTGCTGTTAGCCTCTATGTGCTAGAATCATGGAAAGACTTTGTAAGGACAGTATAAATTCTCCTGCAAGGTTTAATTTGTTATCATGTAAATATTCCAAAGCAGGCTGCCTTGTGGTTTTGGCCAGCCTTGTGCTATGTTGATAAGATTGATTTACTGCTTAAGATCACTTTACTTTATCCAATTTTTACTGAACTTTTTATGTAAAAAATAAAATCAATTAAAGAACTTGCAATGTGTGGTCCCTAAAACTTAATCCAGTTTGTTTCTGTTGATGTTACTGGAGAGAAAAAAGATGTAGTGGCCACTGGGGTGTGGAGTCCAAGATGAATCGTTGCTACTGCACTTTTTTTTTTTTTTTTTTAACAAGCTTTGTTCCTACAGGGTTAGACTTCAGGTCTAAGGCTGAGCTCAGGGGAGGCAATTTACAGTTATTCCAGAGCAGAGGACGCATGACCCGAGACCTCGCTGCCACTTGCTTGTTCTGTTTTGGTTAGTGGGTAAATCAAGAGAAAAGCCAAATGTCTTTTCATTTATACCCCCTGGCCGGAGAGTGTTACTGGATCTTTTTGCCTTCAGGCTTCATTTCTCCTGACCCACAGTTTGGGAGAAATGTTTAGGTCCTGGCTTCCCGCTTCATTACCTGATGCTGGGCCCGGACACTAGAGGGAAGGCAGCGAGGGGCGGCAGCAGTGTGGCTGCTGCCTGCAGGTGTGAGAGTGAGCATGTATTCTAGATGCAGGCTCAGCATGGTCTCCTTGGTGATGAGTTTTCTGGGCAGAGAGGAAGTTCATACTAGATTGGGACCCATCTGTCCTCAAGAGTGTAAGATCCTGCCAGGTGTTGGTGGTGCACGACTTTAATTCCAGCACTTGGGAGGCAGAGGCAGGAGGATCTGAGTGCCAGGCCAGCCTGGCCAGGACAGGCTCCAAGGCAATACAGAGAAACCCTGTCTCAAAAAAAAAAAAAAAAAAGTATGCGATTCTGCTCATTGCAGCGCTCTGTTGGAGGAAGAAGAAAAGGCGGTCAGGTCGAGGATGTTGGGATTACAGCACCCAGTACTTGTGCTCAGCATTTCAGAGAGTAGAGAATATTCATTTAACCCTTAACCCGTACAGCTCTTTAAAATTGGCACTATTGACCAGACTAAGACAAAGCAAGCATCACTAACTTACAACCCTGTAGTAGAGAGCTGAAACCCTTTATGGTCATACATGCTTTGTAGCAAGTCTTTCTTCACCACCTCTGGGGTGTTGACTGCACATGTGTGGGTATTCAAGTGCCTTAAGTGAGACGGCATAGTTCTTACCTCATATCTCAGGTATCTGGACTGCTTCCAGAACCTAATAGCATTCCACTGATACACAAAGCCACAAATGTGAACCCTGGATATCAAGGGCTAGCTAATGCTCTAAAGTCTTTTCCCACAATACTGTATGTAGCCTCCATAACAGCATATTATTAAGTGGACCACAATTTACTCAACCCTCAACGTTTTCTAGTGTGTCTGCTCCCATGTTTTTCCAAGGAAACTGAGGCAGCCTATCAGAGTTGGTAACTAGCTGTAAAGTTTTAGAAATTTTTGAGAATTTTTAACTTTTTTTAAACCCCCAAATGTCTTCATTTTCCCCCATATACTCCCTAATGTTCAAATTACCTAGGATGGGCTAAAGTGTGTCAGTCTGTTCATGCAAAATTTTACCCTTATTGCTGGTGGCCCTGCTGCTAACTACTGACATGGAGTATGATATCCCCTCCCCCACCTTTTTTTTTAAAAGATGTTCTCACTGTGTGCCAGGCTAGCATCAAACCTGTGCTCTTTCTTACCGCAGACGTCTGAGTGTTGGGATTACAGATGCGAGCCACCATGCCTGACTGACATTTATTTTAACAAGGACAGGCTGTTAAGCAGCTATGGTCAACTATTTCTGAGGAGGACCAGTAGAAGTAGCCAGTCCCAGGAGCATCTCAGTGCAGTGAAGGAGGCAGATCTGCTTTGGGTCCTGCTTCACTCTGACTGGACCCCAGGACTTCTCAGTGAGTCTGAATGGACCTAAAGCCATCTATCTAATCCATGTGCACTGGTCCTTCCTAGACAAGGTCTTCCACAGAGGGGCTCCTCAGAAGGCATTGTAACCCAGCTCTCTGCTCCCACTCGAGGATGGGAGTCTGTGTGGAAGTACAGGTGGTTTGTCTCAGCTGCCCTGTGTGGAGCAGGCTGCTTGCCGGCTGTGTTCAAGCCACACAGCTGTGGAAGCCTGTTTGAAACCCCTTTGCCTGGGTGGCAGTCTGGATATTGAACCTAGGACCTTGTATGTACTAGACAAGTACTCTCCCACTGAGCTAGACACCCTCCACCCCCGACCCCGGCCAAGCCCAGAGTCCCAGCTTTAAAATGTCTTCCTTTTCTTGTCTAAAGATGACCTGAAGTCCTCAACACCTAGCTTACCACAACTGACTTGTGGTCACACAAGGGTCCTGTGACACACATGGGAATCTTAGGGACAGGGGACTTAATAAACATGCCTCCAGCTAAGCAAAGGAGACTGGAGTTTTGGAGGAGACGTGGCTTTCTAATGTGATCCAAACACTGAAGGGCAGGGGTGAACTCCAGTCAGCCCCTCCATAGCCCATGCACACAAACAAGTGCCTGCCATCCTAGCTGCTGCTTGGAGAGGGTCCTTCTCTGGGCCTCTATTTCACAGCTACTCAATGTCTTCCAGGCCCAAGGAATCAAATAGACTAGGATGCAAATCAAAGTTGCCTTTAATATGTGATTTTAAAAAATAGCTGGAGCTAAACAGGCAGAACAGGGGTCTATGGGCAGAGCTGGCCCCCTCTTACCCATCCCCTCATACTCTGCTTCCTGGCTGGGAGAGGAGGGTGAAGGGACATGAAGCGGCTGAAGCCAGAAGTCCTTCTTGGACTGAGGCGGTAAGAATGGTAAGGAGTGCCAGTGCGGGCAGCACTGGGAGATGTCACTCACACCACAGAGCAGCCCTCAGCTGGTGAGCTCAAAACCTGGACCACATCTTCTCTGCCTATGGCAGCCAGGGCATCCTCTAGCGCTCTGAGGGTGGCTCTGCTTCCTTCTTGGACAGCCCAGTCCCTTAGCAGGGTATAGGCTGGTGCCTGGCCATGAGCTATGGTATCCACAGCCTCAGCTTGGTAGCCCAGCTGGCCTGCCAGCCCCTGCCAGCCCTTGGCGGGTTCACCCAACATCAAGAGCCGCTCGACCTCCTGCTGCAGCTGCTGTGGAATATGCAGGTAAAGTCGGCAACCGGGGTCAGGATGTGGTCCTGGGGTAGGAGACAAGATTCGTTAGTGGTTGGTGAGACAGCACTAAAAACAAAGGACTACTTGACTGAGGAAGGATGCTCACCCTGGCTGGGGATACAGGGCTCCAGACAATGGGGAGAGTCCACGAAGACACTGTCACCATGCCTCTGGTCCCTGTCAGGGTCCCCAAGCTCTACAGTCCGAGCTTTGGCCAACTGTTGTCTTTGCTTATGTGAGCGCCAACTGTAGAGGGCAGAGGGTACTAAGACAAGGAGCTGGCTGGGGATCCAGGCGTGGAGGGGATGCCACAGGGCAGCACCCAGACCACCTACCATTTGAAGGCCACATAGGCAAGCAAACCAAGGACCACAGTAGCTAGGAGAGCACAGTAGACAGGAATGATGTTGCTTGAGGCCCCTGGAGGCTCAGGGGGAAATAGTGAGGAGGTATTGGGAGCCAGGGCTCCTTCAACTCCTGCCCACACGCTTTCCCTGTCCCTATCATGCTCATTCAGGGCGGTATCTGTGAAGACAAGGGTCAAGTGGTCAAAACAGCCTCACCTAGACCATCTTGGCAGAAAGTTCCAAAAGCAGAGCTCACCATGTAGTTAAGGATTCAGCACGGTATCCACAGCTGAACTGGCAAGAATGGCTCAGTGGACAGACACAAGCATGACAACCTGAGTTTGATCCCCCAGGATGCGCATGGTAGAAGGAGAAAATTGACTTCCACAAGTCCTCTGAATCCCGCATGCTTACTAAGGGGTTAACAGTGCTTGTTCCATTACAGGACCAGAGTTCTGTTCCCAGCACACAGGGGCTCACAGCCACGGAACCTGAGCTCCAGGGGTTTTGATGCCCTCTTAGGGCCTCTGTGGGCAACATCACATACACACACATGTACAGGTACATACGTACACATAAGTAATTATTTTCTAAGGTGACTGGCCCTTTGCTTTGCCACTGTGAATAACACAGATGTATCTTGCCATCTTCTGACACAGGCTGTCTCTGTGTAACAGTCCTGGCTGTCCTCGAATTCGCTCTGTAGATCAGGCTGGCCTCGAACTCACAAAGATCCACCTGCCTCTGCCTCACAAGTGCTGGGATTAAAGATATGTGCCACCACCACCCAGCTGCATCCAGACTTGTGTTCTTGCTGTTATGCCTTCTAAAAGCATGTCAGGAATCTATTCTGGAAGCCTTCTTTAATCCCTCTCCATGCTCTGTTTACACCACCTGTTTACGTAGTACTGGACTGAGACAACACTAATGTGTGTTGTTTTCACAAAACCATAAAAATAAAACTTAACTGGAAGAAAATACTGATGCTCTCTTCGGCCTTAAGTCTAGTGACCAATCCTTGTGCCCAGTGTAGACAGAGGGATAGAGCCTGTGAATGGATTGTACATGACCTACCTCACCTCCCAGTCTGACTGCTACCTAGGATCTGGGTCAAAGAATGCGTACCTGCATGGACCACACCTTTGCTGTGGCTGACGTTGTAGAGCATGGCTTTGCCAGGCACTGCCTGCTGGGCTTCTTGGTGAAGGGGAGTCGTACACGGCGCTGAGCTGAAGAGCCAGAGGACTGCTTTTCTGAGTCCAGTAGGAACTCTGTGTGGAGATATGAGGCGATCCTCAGATCTGCCATCAAAAGTCCCTGGGGTAGCCTGTCCCCATTACTAGCTCATTCCAACATGATTCATGCCAGGGCTGGAACAGTTTCCCTGTATTGAGTAGGTGGAGGTGACTGAGCTGGCCCCAATAGCCAAAGCTGGTGGGTTGGGGTTCAGCTGAGGATGGAAATTACCCTACCTCAAAGACCTTGCCAAACACCTGTGCTGAGTCTAGGGGCTTAAGGAGAGCACAGATATATGCAGTGTGATCCCCACCTCATGCTGAAGCATCCCTAGGGACCAGTGAAAGGCTCGTGCTCATGCATATCTGCCAAAACCCAACATCCTAAGGTCCCAAGACCTGTACTGACTAGGCTCCCACTCTTTGCTCCAGTGGCCAGCCCTCTCCTGCCCAGGCACTGAGTGAAAGGTACCTTAATGGGTTCAGGAAGGTCACAGGGCCTGTAGATCCAGGGGCCCTAAGGTTAGTCCTTTCTCAGGTGGAAATTGCAGAGAGGGTCACTTCCTGCAGGCCGAGGAGAAGCTCCAGATCTGGAAGGCGGAGAGACCTCTCCTGAAGAAGGAAGAGACTCAGAAAGAGCCTCCCCCCCCCACAAAGCCCCAACAATTACTGCTGCATAACTGAAGGATCTACCACATGACATGTGTGTGGTATGGCTGTCAGCAGTCCAGTGCTGGAGCCAGGTAAGCCTCGGGGGTGGGTGGCCCCTTTACGGACTATGTACCTTTGTGTCACTTACCACATTGGGAGTGGGGGCCTTTCCAGTATCCTAGTTGATGTGTGGGCCTATAAACCAGTAGCAGTAGACAGGCCATGGAATCTACCCCACCCATCCTGAGTTGCTGGAACTTCTCCCAGCCTCCCCACCCATCTCTAAGCCCAAAATTCTAAGAAACAATTCAACAGCCCCCGCAGGCCTATACACACCCCAACACAGACGTTGGTACCAGTAGATCAGGGCACTCGAGGTGGGAGACTGGGAGAAAGGAAGTTCGGGCCCGTTCCACCTAGCAGAACCCAGCTCGTCACTCCCACCCCTCCTGACCTTCGGGGGCCACCCCTCCAAGGGTGCCAGGATCCACTCAGCCAGGAAGACGGCGGGAGTCCCTGGAGAGGGCAGGTTCCGGTCTGCCCAAGAAAGAGTGAGCCAAAACTAGGGGCGGGCCAATGCGTGGGGGGGGGGGTTGGAGAGGGGAGCAGGACAATGAAGAGGCGGGGCTGAGCTCGAGGGCGCGGTCTCGCCCCCGCCCCACGCTGGAGCACGCCCGAGCTCTCAGGGCGCCGGGAGGCCGACACCGGCCTGGTTGCCAGCGCGCGCAGATGGCATGCAAAAGCCTGAGATCCAGGAGCCAGGAAACGGCTGGCAAGGACAGAGGTGGCTAGGTTGGCTACACGGAGGCCAGCCTGCCCAGGAAGAATGACATGTCAGGCCAGACCGGGAGACGGGGGTACTAAGGATGGTGGCCACAGAAGGCCGACAAGGCGGGCACATGTATACTCAAGAAACCAAGTGGCTACAAAACTAGGCCAAGTTTATTGCTGAGGATGGGCAGCGAGAGTCACCTTTAGGGATTAAGGCCACGGGCGGTCTTTGTGCTTCACTAGAACGTGGGGTTTGAAAGTAGGAACTGCCCCCACCCCACCCCACCCCACCCCACCCCAGATTGTGCAAAATATGCAGCTGCGGCCTCGGAGGCCGGCGCTAGGTCTCCCCTCAGCCGGCGAGGGGCGGGACTTCCTGGTGATGCCATCTACCAATCCCTGAGCTGGAGGGTGGGCCCCGCCCACCCCCGGGTGCAGCAGTCTGGGCAGGGCATCGTGCTCGGGCCGGGGTCTGAGCACCTAGACGCCCGGTTCAGCGAGCTTCGCCAGGATTGTACTCTGTCTCGCCAGAAGACACCTGGGAGATGCGCCGCGAGGAGCGCCACAGCTTCCGCGCGAACTGGCTGCTGCGCACCTGGCGATGGGATGGGATGGGATGCGGTGAGCCTGGGCAGCTACTTCCCACCCGCCCTACTGATTCGATGCCCGGCCCGCCTGCTTTTGTCCTCACCTCTGAAGGCTGCCCGGCGCCCACAACGATCAGCTTGCCATCCTCCAGGCCCACCAGTACGTGGCTACGCTCCTTGGTCACAGACACACTGCGCACTGGCACTTTCATGGGCAGGGGAGACACAGCAGGCCGCAACCTAGAGCAGGAAGTGGATATACAGTTAGTCACGACTGCAGGAAGTCTTAAACAGCTACCAGGTGTCCGTGTGTCTACTTCTGTCCTCACTTTAAGGCTGGCTAAACTCAATTCCGATTCACAAGACTCCCACAACCGTGTAGACCAGGGAAGTCCAGGGCAAGAATCTCCATGGGTAACACGTAGAAGAGCGTGCTACTGGCACCCTATGCCAACGACTACCACCTACAGGGGCCGGGCACTAAAAGCGGGGCTCACTAAAAGCGGGGCTCACGTGTTCAAATGCAGGATATGCAGAGAGCACTGGATGGTGCCCAGCAGAACGAAGTCTCCAGCCACTGTCAGGGCTGTAGGCTGCTCGGCCAGGGGCAATGAGGCCCGCAGCCTCCCATTCACCGAGTATAGGTGCAAGGAATAGGTGACCTGGGAGAAATGGGAACATCACCAACCGCCCCACCATTCTGACGCCTGCCCCGATGTCTTTGTTGGGTACCCTGTCCCCATACCTGGGCCCCAGGACGTTCACAAGCAGAGCTCTGCACAACAATCTGACCTTCAGAGCCCAGTGCCAGATGTGACACGGGTCCAGGCAGTGTGGCACCTGGAGGCCTTAATGCTGCCACAAACTGACCTCGGCGCACAGTGTGTATGATCACAGTCCCATCCTACGGAAGGCAGATTAGGATGCTGAATAGAGAACTGAAGGCTCTAGGGACAGTGTCTTAGCGGACAGCCTCCCTGGGGCATGTGTACACACACCTCGGACCCAGACACAGCCATATCAAGTTCAGTGCTGATGGCCACGCAGCTCACCGCAGCCTCGTGTCCATACAAAACCTGTACAGGCTTCGGCGCCAGCCCTACTGAGAAACCGCCCTGTGGGAAGGAAGCAGGGCTAGCTTTAAGGCTCGGGCAAGTAAGACTCTATCCAAGCCAGAGGGGTGGGGGTAATGGAGCCCCAGACTTGCTCGCGGTGGAGAAAGGAGGGTAGCCGTGAAGGCTCTCTGAGGGACAGGAACCTCACAAGTCTGCCCACCACACACACCTGCTGCAGAAGACGCCACACCATGCACGTGGTGTCCCGGGAGCCCGAGATGAGGTAGATGCCACAGGTGTCCAGTGCAAGGCAGGTCACTACGTCTGCATAGGAAGAGGACGACATAACAGGGTTAGTGTATGCTCCCAGGTCCCATTCCGCGTCTGCCTGTCCGCCTCTCCTCCCTGCCACCAGGCCTGTTCATACCAAGGTGTCGGCTTAGCTGGCTCAGCAGTTTGCCGCGGGGTAGTCCAGTTACACGTAGGCTGCCATCCCAATGACCACCGCTGAAGAGCAGCTTCCCATCGGGGGCCACTGCCAGCGCTTGCCCACTCATGCCACTGCCGGGCACCCATGGCCCACTGAGTAGTTTTTGTACCCTAAGCCAAAGAGAAGGCAATGAGTGAGGCTGGGCCGCGGGGAACTTGGCCAGACCTCTCCCTTGCAGTTGGGCTGCATCTCTTTAAGTGGGAAGGTGGTTCAAGGCATGGGGCTTGGCTCACCTAACCCTACCCACAGCTCTCTGTCTTACTTGGGGTTGCTTATGCTGGGGTCTTTGCTGAAGGTGAAGTAGTTGTTGATGTTTCGGTCATAGGGCAACCAGCTGTGAGTGCCCAGGAGCCCACTGGCACTCACAGTCACCTGTCGGTAAGAGTGTGCTGAGGTGGTTCCGGGGCAAAGGCAGGAGGCATGAGTTAAGGAGGGACCCTGCCCAGTCCACTTACCAACAGGTCTGAGGAGCTCTGGGTGATGAAGGAGTGGGATTGCCGGTGGGGAACCAGCGCTAACACCAGAGGAACGCCTTCACTGACGACCTGGGAGAATGGGGAGGGTGACTGTGTTGAGGGGCGGGAGAAGCCCCAGGGGACAGTCTTTCCAGTGGGCACCCTCTTTTCTTTGCCCTCGACCCTCAGGGGCCCAGAGTGGGCGTCACATAGAGAGGTGGAGTCCTCGAAGCACACATGGCAGCAGTATGTAGAAGAGCATCACAGAAAGAGGAAGCAATCTCAGCCTGGCTCCTCCCATCCCTTACTCCTGAGCCTCAGCCCAATGACAGGAGCCTATGTGAAGATGCAGGAAGGATCCAAGGCCATATTCCCTCCATCCCGACCCCCGGCTCCCCTCAGGTCCTCAGGGATTGTCCCGGAAGTCACAACCTGTCCTGGCCCTCCTCAAGAAAGCCCCCTTCCTCCTACCCTGCCTACAAGATGCCTTTAAATCAGTTAATTCACTTCGTATTCCCATCTGGCCCCACGAGTGGGAAGGACAGTGCAGTTAAACCCGTCTCCCAGAAGAAGCTAAGCTCCTGCCCTCTTCACCTCAGCAAAAAAAGCCTTGAGCTGGTCCAGGTTCTGGAAAATGCTAGGTGAGTTAGTGTCCAGGCGAGCAAGGCGATTGGCTGCTTCCTCAGCTGAGAGCCGGGGTGGGTGTGGCTCCTGGAGATGAGAGCTAATCAGCACCATGACATGAGTGCTCTTTTGTTTTGGTTTTGTTTGAGACAGGGTTTCTCTGTGTAACAGCCCTGGCTGTCCTGACACTCACTCTGTAGACCAGGCTGGCCTCGAACTCACAGAGCTCCACCTGCCTGTGTGTCCTGAGCGCTGGGATTAAAGGCGTGCACCACCACCGCCCCGCTGACACTGGTGTTCTTGACCACTGTGTTCTAAGCAGCTCTTACCTTTAGCAGCTGACAAGGAGTCTGCCCAAAGTTGCTGATGATGCCTTCCAGAGCCTTCCGTTCCCGTTCATCTGCCACATGGTCCAGGTCCACAGCCCCTGAGAGGGAGGCAAAGTAGCCAGAGCTCCTTCAGTGTCTTCTGCATCGCCACTTTGTGCCCTGGCCCCAGCTTCCGTGTAGCACGCGCACCGCCTACCTTCATAGGTGCAGTAATAGAAGACATTGAGGGCCTCCTCGGCTGCTGGACCCCGCTGCTTATAGCCAAAGATGAGGTCGATCCACTCATGCAGGTGGGTGGACACATACTCTGACTCCTGAGGGCAGGAAGTGGCAGTCAACCCTGGGACTGCAAACCCCACCACAACTCACCTCGGGCTGCCTGTCTGTGTGCGTTCACCTCCTCACCAGAGCCCGGCGGTGCTGTTGGATGAAATCCTCTGGACAGCTGGCCCATGGGGGCAGCACCACATCGTCCACCTTCTCATTGGTCAACTGGAGGCAGCCCAGGTCAAAGCCTAGCAGAGGAGGTTAGCAGTGTCCCTGGGTAACCCTGGCCACCCCTGTCTGGGCACTCATGCCCCAGGCCCCCACTCCCACAGCCAGCGCCTGCATGCTACCATTCTGGTTCTCCAGGAAGTCGGGAAAGTAGAAGAACTCTGGGATGAGCTCCTTCACATCAGCGGGACTCTCCAGGCGTGCCTGCCAAGCTGCTGCCACTGAGTGGAACTGCCTGTCAGAGCAGTCGAAGCTGGTGGAGGGACACAGCCAAGGTCAGACGACAGACACAGAGGGATGCATCGAACCAGACGCAGACAAGAGGCTGCCAGGAAGACTGTGTCCCCCCTCGTCCCCCACCTCCCATCAGCCCTGGGCGCACCGGCCACTCTGCAGCTGCACGTGCAGGGAGGTGAAGGGCTCCACACGGATGAGGTAATGCATCACACCTGCCGCATTGGAATAGTGGGTTCCATAGTGGAACTTGTCGATCGTACCAGCTGGGTCCTCAAAGCTCTCATATCTGAAGCCACAGGCAACACACATCAGTAGGAGCCTTTTGCCCGCCCATCCCCAGCCCACCATGCCCCGCCCACCCTGCCCACAGGCTCACTTCTCCCTCACGAGCTGGGCATGCTTTGGGTTCACCACACCGATGGGTTTGGACAGGTCCCGGAAGACAGCTGGATTGCTGAGGTCCAAGACTGGGGACACATAGTCCTGCAAGACCCAGGGGAACTGGCCACCCACCCAGGGGAAGAAGCTGCGTGAAGACCCTGATGGCTTGCCAGCCCACCCTGCCCTTCCCTGGACACTCAGGAAGGTGAGTAGCGCCTGTTCACAATACCATTCGGAAGGGCTGCAGGAGCACTGACAGTCTACAAGAGACACTCCTTCCGGGGAGACCACGGCCCAGCAGGAAGGAAAGAGGGCAGCGGACAGAGGCC